ATGAGAACAGCATCACCTGCTGACATCTTCCAGAAACAGCAACTATATCCATTTCTTTGAAAAATTTTCTCTGAAAAATTCATAAACGTGATCTCAACCCACTCAAACATTTACTGGGAAACACAAACTATTATCCCTTTCAAGCAGAATTTTGAAATGTTTAGTGAGGCACATAGTGATAACATCTCTAACCACCAAAGGTACAAAACACACAATTGAAAAGGCAAACACAGGTAAAGAGATAAAACACTGCAACTATTGGTATAATAGGTTCTTCTGTGAATATGCAACACATTCTGTAGTCAGAAATGTTAAATGTTTTGGAAGGGAAACCCAACTAGCTTTTCCTTTATGAATTTTTGGTTTTGTCTGTTTTTTTAGGAAGATTGTTCTCTGACATATTATTAGTTCCAGGGGCTGGTGGAGCGGCTCAAGTGGCAGAGCATTTGCGTACCAAGCATGAGGCCCTGAATTCAAACTCCAGTACTGCCAATATCTGTATATATTAGTTTCAAAATGTTCATCATTGGGTTTTGGCGTGGCTAGCCTTAAAGGCCATGCTTTTGTTTGCTTTGGCCTTCTTCCTTTTTAAATGTCAGATGAGATGGAGTGGGGGGAACCTGAATCCCTGTATTTTAAGATGTTTAAGCTGCAGGTGACAAGAATCTGACAAAAGTCAGAGATTAATTCCCTTTCTGGTAAATATCCAGGTAGATGGTTCCAGGTGGCAAAACACCATTTGTACCTGGACCTGATGTTTCCAGAGGCAAAGTTTCAGGCAGCATTATGGGAGAAAGGGAAATAAGGATTTCACAGGTTCTGATGCATAGGGAAGACCCCAATTACTTTCCCTATTAGCCAGAACTTAGTCATAACTAAGGCAAAATGGAAAGTGTCTTCATTCTGTGATGACAAACAAGCAGCAGCTAAAAATGGCTGTTGAAGGGGCAACTACCAATTTCAGCCAGATTACCCCCTTTTGCCTTATGTGAATGCACCCTTTTTACTACAAAAAGAACAGAATGCTTTGCTGCTCCCCAAGGGATACATCAGGAAAGACCCATTCTCTCCCTGCAGTTAGTTCTAAGTCCCAGGAGAACTGGGTGAATATGCAGTTCTTCTCACCAGGGACAAATGTTATCACAAGCAAACTAAAATAAAAGATGTTATCTGCCTCAATAAACTTACCTAGAATGGAGGTATAGAATGATTACATTTCATAAATGTACAATACAAATGAACAAGACACACTGTCATTGCTTATTGAGTACCACATTGCATGGCTATAGCTGGATAGGAGGAATAACTTCTAATGTCCTCTAGCACAGGAGGATAACTATGGTTCACAACAATTAAATATTTCTAAACAGCTAGTGGAGAGGATCTTCAATGTTCCCAGCACAAATGACGTTTGTGGACTCTGATCACACATTGTATACATGTATTGAAACAACAGTGTACCCTATATGTACAATTACTACATGCTAATTACAATAAAATATTTAAAATAGCACTCTGCAGGAATTTCAAAGCCTCTCTACTCTGGTAGTACAGCTCCTTCGTCAGCCCCAGGGAGCAACCCTTGTGCTTGTGTTCTCTGGGTAGAACTTGACCATTGCTCCTGGTAAAAGTTCTTGTCCATCATTTTTTCCTGGTTACAACTGGGCTGCACAGCTTTCAAAGCTCACTGTAGTTGATCAGGATGACCCCAGAGAGCAGTTTTCCCAGAAAAGTTCCTCTTTACAGCTATTATTTTCAATATAATTATCAAAATCTCTCTTTTCTCTCATATTGTGGTTTAGGTAATAAATGCCATCATCACATCATTCCTGAACTGAATAATGTCAACAGCCACATGAACTTGAAGAGGAATCCAAGTCTCAGACAAGATTGGCCATCACCTTGATTTAAGCCTGGTAAGACTCTGAACAGAGGACCCTGCTAAGATGTTCCTGAACCTATGGAATATATGGAAACTGAGATAAACTTATGTTAAGACATCAACTTTGTGAGCACTTGTTACACAGCAACAGAAAGAAAACTAGTATCTTCTGAGGCAATGGGTTTGGATCTGAAGTCACTATGGTTATTGCATTTTCATTCCTGTCTTCAACCTTACATCCTGTTGATAATTTTACTTTGCACTTACAGCCCATAAATTACAAGCGAGAGAATGAATAATCCTAACCATCAGGTTCAATGGACACAGAACATTTTTGGGCTAGTAATTAGTACATAGCAATTCCTACAAGATTTGTTGCTGCAAGTTCAGCTGGGCTCAGTTATCTCTTGGAACATTCCAGACATGAGAAGGCAGACTCAGCACGGATGCTCATAACCCCCACCCTTTCCACTTCATTTTGTACAGGTCACCATTATGAATATTCCCTGTCAACTCTCCAAGGTATTTGAAGCAATAATTTCAATGTTTTGTCATTGCCTACCAAGGGTCACCAGTTTTCTAGCCTGCACTCTCATGCCCTACTGGATTCTACTAGTCAGTGGAGCAATACTTCCTTCCTGTAAGGGATGATTTTTGGGTCTCACAAGGATTAGGAGCTATCACTGGTGCTTAGTACCTATGGGCAAAGGTGATAGCAGAGAGCAGACTTGCACATTATACTGTATTAAAATGTCAGAACCCCTGTTGGCTTTTAGCCAATGCTGTATGTTAGGTTGTTACTTCCAGTACCCCACACCTGGCACCAAATTCTGTATAGAATGGGAAGTAGAAATGGCAAAACAAAACAAAACCAACAAACAACCCAAAAGAGTACTGTCTTAAACACGATTAGTCCAAGACTGGTAAGATTCTGTGTCAAGGTCTCAGGTGTCAGAGATTTGCTTTTCAATTTTCTATTGTGTTGCAGGAATTTATTTGATAGGAAAACTAGCAAGCTCAAGTAAATTCCAAATTATGTATTCCCCTGTGAGTTGCCGTCTGACTTTTCTAAAAGCATCAAGCCATGTAGGAAATCCTGACTTTTACGAAGTCAAATACATTAACTTTTATCATATAGATTCTAAGTTTTATCTAAAATTCTAAAATTACTTTACTATTTCAACATCACTTTTAGAGTATTTACCCTACTGTTCCCCAATAATGCTACTATAAATCAGGACTTGAGTACTAAGTTATGTCAATTGCTTTATGGTATTTACTGAAAGGATTATATGTATTTTTTCCTTTTTGTTAGCGCAGTAAGCTGCATTCCAGTGATAAATCACACACAATGCAGTATTCTTGGGTTATTAAATCAATGAAGGAATGTGCTTTTAACTTTGCAGGGAGTTTCAACAGTTCCTCTCCTCTGTACCACTGGGTTTTGAACTCAGGGCTTCACATTTGCTAGGCAGGTGCTCTATCACTTGAGCCACATCTCCAGCCCCAAGCGTTTATTTATAATTTATATACTATATAAATATTATACAAAATTTACATATTTCCTTTCATATAGTTCTAAACGTGCCAGCATATTTTAATGAAAAAAAAAGACATTAAAAAAAAAAGAGAATGTTGTAATGAACACCTGTATACCTATTATACCTAAATAAATTCTTACAGGTACTATTGAATCCTTCCTTCTATATTGTTCCTTAATCCCATTCCTTTATGTTCCTCCTCACACATACTGTCCTGATTTGATTTTGTATTACACTGCATGTTTTATACATTTGCTGTGCTTATCTGTATTGTTTTATAGACTTTTAAATTTGTATTAGTGTGCTTACCTTTTGAACATTTTTTCTCAAAATGTTCTACATTTTTATTACCATACAATAGCTGTACAAAGAGGTTCTTTATGACAGTTCCATATAGCTTACAGTGTACTTTGGTTAGGTTCATCCCCACTATCATTCTCCCTCATCCCCCACATCTATTTAAAATGACAGGTTTCAATATTCTACTTTCATACATGTACATTAACCATATTCACCCTTTTTTACCCTCTCCAATCTCCCTTCCCCTTCTCCTTAAAAGTATGTTTTACATTCCTGTCCTTCATTGTTTAAGTGCATGTTTGTTATTCATGTTTTTTTTTATAATATATTTAGGTGTTTTTAAAAGCTGAATGTTATCCCAATGTAACAAACCACACAATGTCTGTACTCACTCTTTATGGCTTTATTGATGGATATTTAGGCTGGTTTAGTTTCTGCCATTACAAGTCTCTGGAATGGAATTTATGTCCTTTAAAGAAGTTTCCTTTTTCTTTCATAAAGCTCCAAAAGGAGGAAAGAATATGTGCACAGGGGTAGGGTTTTCTTTTTTTCACGTTACATTTTTCTTCACTTGAGGTACTTTTAGTGTCCTGGAACACTGATTAGAACACCTATCTCCTGCATTTTGCTGTGCATTGTTGTAAAAAATTCAAGTCTTCCCCAAGTGCTTATGTTGACCTATGTAGGTAGTGGCTCCTGGGTTTTTCTCTTCAGTATTTGGGAAACAGGAGGCAAGCCTTCATTTCCAGGTAAAGGTCTGGGATGGCAAACCCGTGTTTGCAATCAGTGTTCTCATTCTACTAGGTTAGCAAGTTAATATCGCACAAAACATGAAGCCAAAGAAGCAGCCAGTGATTTTTGCTGTTCAATTAGTAAGACTTTTAGGATTGTTTTTTTTGTTTTGTTTTGTTTTTACAATGTCTTGCTGGCCCGGAACTCACTATGTAGCCCAGGCTGGCCTTGAAGTTACAATACTCTGGCCTCAGACTCCCGAGAACTAAGACTACAGATGTGCACCACCATACCTGGGTAGAACTTTTGGGAGTATTACTGCAGTAAGAGAACTCTTTGGAAATTTCTTTGGCTTAATGAGTGGGCATTTTACAAATTTTCCCAAGAACTCATCATTCTATGATATACCAATTTTGTATCCTAAAAGCCTTCTATTAATTGGAGTGTTTTAATTCTATGTAGCCCCACAAGGTATTGAGTGAAGATTTATGTCATTATAATCTGTGGTTGATTTGGTATCTGGGGTATGTGTGCTCTCTAGTCAGTTTTTTTTTTTGTGTCCAAAAAAGTTCTCTGATTCAATCACATGTAAAAGAATGAAACTTGACATTAAACCAACTAGCATACTTTTGTTAGGTTATATCACAACCAGGGCTAACAGGACTTTAGAAACTTCCTAGTCATACTACAGTTTGTAAGAACACTTATTTTAACTTTACTCATCTTAGTGGTATCATTTTGTACTATGGTGTTTTAAAACTTAGATCAAGTTTTTTGACACATGACATTTCTATCCTAGAAGCCTTTTATCTGTATTTTGGTACTTCACTAATATGAGGATTTCCTGCCTCATACTTAATATGCATACTTACAAAAATATTAGTGTGCCCAAGTAGAGATTAAGCTTACCCTTTCTAGAAAGAATCCTTTGGTTAATACCTTTTAAAAGGTACCTTACGTAAGTAGGCTTGAAGTTTGTCTTATACAAATCTTAATTATAAAATAAGTACATATTTTAATGTGTTATCCGTGGCACATCTGAAATGAGTTCAAAGTGGGCCAAGATCCTAATCCCTTCAACTGGCAATTGGAAAGCAGACTTACCATTTCCTGCAGTGTGCCTTACAAATATCATTTCCTTTATGTGTTGTGAGGTGAAAAGGTTGGAAAACACTGCTATGTTCCCATGACTAGTTTGAACTCTAAGCAACAGTTTCCTAGTCACCTAACTCACAATGCCTAGAAGAGTCCACTGGATATTTTGGTTAATCTTGAATGGCCCAACACTGATATTTTTCCTTTCAACTCCACCCCAACATTAATTTCTGTTATCAATTAAACCACAAAAGTTTAATTGGTTATTCTGATAAATATATTGCATATCCTACAATAGATAGCACCCCTGCCCAATCCTACATTAAAACTAAAGAGTATCAAACTTGGAGACACCCATACAAAAGTCCACCTTTAAAAAGTTCTCAATTTCAAGCTCCAAAGTCTTAATTTGTGACTAGTAAGTATACCATGATTCTGCTTTTCATATAACTCACCTCAGAAGTATAGAAATACACATCCTTCTTGGATTGTGCATACCTGCATTATAAAACTTGTGTTAACTTCTGACTAAACGTGCCTTTATATTTTATGCCCAATAGTTGGCAAGGGCACAAACTAATGATCAGTAAGAGAGATCTTTTGAAAACATCTTCCATTATTTCAAAACTTTCACTGTAGTTCTTAAATCAAAATGATTTCAAACACAGAAAAGGCTACTAAAATCCTATACAATTAACTGTAACTGTCCTTAATTGAGATTTGCACTTTTTAGGAACATTTGTAATGAACCAGAATTTCCACAACCTTTCTTTTAAAGCTCTGTTCCCATGGCAGGTTTCCAAAATTCCAAATGAATCTTGAATATCTGTGTTACATAGCTATCTAACTCATAAAAATGAAATAGAAATACAGAATATTCAGGTACAGATGGTCCTAAAAAGGTTTTTTTGACTTCACAATGGTATAAAGTCTCATTTTTTTCCATTTTCAGTATTCAATACACTGTGATATTCAATACTTTATCACAAAAAAAGGCTTGTATTAGATGATTTTGTTGAATTCTACGCTAATATAAGTGTTCTGAGCATGTCTGGGGTAGGCTAGAGTAAGCTATGATGTTTGGGAGGTAAGATATATTAAGTGCATTTTTATCTTTAATATTTTCTATATATGATGGATTTATTGAGGACGTAACCCCACAGTAAGTTAGGAACATCTGTGTAGTCTGGAAAAACAGCACTTATGTCAGAAGACTTTCCAAAGAATCTTGATTTCAATATCCATGAGATCATCTTTCCAATTCCAGGCTTCCCAACTGTTTATACTCCTCTACTGTCCTCCCTCAGCCAGTCACTTCCTTAAGTCACATTTAATACTAATCACCGTTAACTCCTCAAAATATCAAGGTTGAGCATACCACATTAAACTTTACTTCCTTTATTTCTACTTCATTTTAGCCCTTATAATCCACTGATCATGCTCCCCTTTCATGTCCTCACTTCCCTGCTTATCTAGCTTAAATTCCACAGACCAATACTATAACCTTGTCTTCTTCATGTACTGGGTTATGCATTCTGGGTAAAGAAACAACCCTGGTTAAATTCAGATTATACACTCCATGCCTGCACCTAACGCAGCTTTACATCGATTATGTCTAGGAGGAGTAGTTCTTCATTTTGCCTGGCTCCAGCTGTTCCCCAGGCTCACTTTCCTATTCCTATAACCCACCAGAGCATCCTCTATCTCCTTTATCCCATATCTGACTGCTATATATTTTCACATAAAATCTAAAACTGAGCTCCTGACCAGACTCTTGCCCACAACCAACTACTTGGTCCTTCCAGAATCTTCTTCAATTCATCAAACCCCAAATGTCCTTGAAGGTTCTCTTTATCTCATGTTCCACAACCAACTTCTAATGTGTATCTTCCTGATTTTACCTACTACTTCATTACTTCTATAGCTACTGGTCTCTGTCTTGGCCAGCATTCTCTTTCAACTGGACTACTACAATTGTCTCCCTAATTCTGCCTTTGCTTCCACACTCTGGCCTATTATTCAATGTAGTACCCATTCTGGTTCCTATTGAAATGATACCCCTGAGCTTTAGCATTACTTTGGGTTCTCGTTCTTCTTTGATAAAGTGCTATTTGTAGACTATAAAGACTAGTCTTGTACAACCATTATTTTGGCCTATGTCCTAAATTTTTTGGTAATCTTACCTTTCTCATGCTCATCTTAAAAAGTTGCATATGTTAAGAAGGTATTCAACACTAAAAAACAGAGTCAAAATAATTGACCTTCATGGGATATAAACCCATGTCAGCCCAACTGACACAAGCTAATCAATTAAAAATTTATCTGGTACTTAGTTCAGTATCACCTCAAATTTCTGACTCTTTTTCAAGAAAGGGAACAGGTAATTAATGTTACCAATTAATTTTCCCTAGGAATTCTACTATGCCAAAGCTGATAAAACTAAAGAGAAAATGATTTAGTCAAAATGTTATAATTTCATATGGTCTCAATGCTTTCAAAGCCCAACAGTGATGTTTTTAAAAATAAACAACATGCTTTGAGAGAATTTTTAAAAATCTATACAACTCAAGCTAATGAAATATTTTATTATACATAAAAGTGGTGGGGTTTTTTTGCTTTGTTTTTTTTAAAAACATTTCCAGGCCCAGACATCTGCAGGAGTCCGTGAGGAATGGATTCCACTCAAGTCTAAGAAGCAAAACTACTGAATGAAACCATTAAATCCACCAACTCCTTATAGTAACTACTAACATTCACCACACCACAGGCTTGAAACTCCTGTAGCATCAGAAAATCTACTTTTTAAAATATTACAAACATGCTTATGATGCATAGGAGGATGGAAAAACTTAAGAGACTGTGTGACTGCATACCGTATTAATCCCAGTTTTCCTAATTTACAACTGGTTAAGAATTACAATATTCAAAGTATTTTAAAACAGCATAAGACTCACTGGTAAGTGATTTTCTACTCAAATCAATAGGAAAATTGGCATTTTTGATATCACACTGAATTTCAGTAATTTTCAATCTAAGGAAAAAAATAAACTGAGACATGATCATGAGTTCGGGATTATATATATTACAATTTGCCTTGTTATAATACAATTGTGGCTTTGTGATAAAAATAACTCAGGACATGGAATTCAAGCTAATTTGCATAACTGTCACAAGAAAAAAAGGATTAAATGCATTCTGAAATAAGTATTCTTATTTAATTTCAGAACTCAAAACAGCAATAGACCTTGGCCTTATATTTAAAAAAAAGTTTAGTTAAACACTAAGCTAGCTAAATAACCTTACTGAAAGGTTTAAACACAATTGATATAGAAAATGCTTTCCTTCTAATCTCAATCTTACATAAGTGGAAGAAAAGGTAAAGGGGAAAAGGTAGATAATTTCTTTAGCAGCATATATGGCTAAGTCCATCAACCACCTTAAACTAGAATGTCCATTATTGACCCATTAAAAATAATTGGGCTAATATCAAAAGTTACCCATTTCATAAGCCAAAAGACAACAATTTTAGGATTATAGTAAGTAAAATACTTTTCGAAATATTTTAAAAACTTTTAACCATGAACTAGAGGAATCAACTTTTCATTGTAAGAAAAGAAAGAAATAACGAAGTAAAAGACATTTAAACTAAACTCATTTTCAATCCTCAGAACAAAAGAAATGAAAAACAATGGTCTATTAGCTAAGCTTTGTGCTCTAACCAAACTAATTAATTACAGTGATTTAAATGGCAACAGCCCATCTGACTGGGTAGCTTGACAGTTCTGAATACTTTTGCAATATGTTTTTTAAACGCAAAGACACTAAAATGATCCGGTCATGCAATGTTCATCTTATGCATTCTGCATCTCTTTGCCAATCTTGTAGCTAAGGATCTTGTTCCAATCAATCTTAGTACGTGTAACTGGCAACTGTCGACGTAAGGCTTTGAAAGTAGTATCCGACATTGTCTGATAATTCTCACTGATGGCAGTCTATGAAAAACAGTAGTTAGAAGTTTTAAGTAAAATGAAAGGAACAAAACAATTTGTAACACATAGATGTTTTCAAAACAATCTTTATTTCAACATCAGTTCACTCCTTTTAAATAATCAAATAAAAATCCCAACACGGACTTAAAAGCTGCTTAAAACTATACCAAGTTTATAGTCATTTTGAATAATTAAATTTAATGAAATGAAATTGTAAATTAGATTTACTGTTTCTATCCTTATTTTGAACCTATTTTATTATTTCAGTTAGAATAGTTTATAAATTACTATTCATAAGGAATGGAAACTCATCCAATTCACAAATTAATGCTTGGATTTAAGAATATAGTTTAGAAGCTCATAAATAATGAGAAAGTAGAGCACAAAATGAAATGTGATCTAAGAGTATTACACAGAATTCAAATGGTTACTGACATCTCTTTAAAATGTGCAATCAGAGACAAAATGACAAAATAGTATTTAAAGTCTTGGCATGTTTTGACCAATACTCAGAAATTATTATTATTTTTTTTTTCTTTTTGGGTTTTTTGAGACAAGTTCTCTCTAAGTAGCAAGGATGGCCTTGAACTTGAGATCCTCCTGCCTTCATCTGCCACATGCTGGGATTATACCACAATGCCCAGTTTGAGTCTTGGTATTTTTAGAATACAAAATAAGATTCAATATATTTGCCACTCTTTTAAATTACATTTTCACTTTACCCCTTGCACTAAAAGCAAACATACACACAAAAGAATTTATCTTATATAGTGAACTGTGAAAATCAGGATTATGGATGAAATTAAAATTCCAGTGCCATTCATAAGTGAATTCAGATTATATTTTTGAAAATCATACCTGGTATTCATTTTCGGCAGCTTCTACAATCTTTATAAATTCTTTTGCTGTTTGCACCTCATTCTGAGTGAAAATAAAACCAAAGGTAAATAAAATAGCAATCTAAAATTAAACCACTATTATTTTAGAATACATATGGTTCATGAAATGGTGTAATTGATTGAATAACGCAGATGAAGGTTATAGCAATTAAAGGGAAAATTGTCAGATCAATTACTCTATGGCCATGGGGAACCAAGCAAAAATGTTTTAAAAGTCTCTGGAATAAGTTTGGTCTCAATACTTAATTTGTAATGATAACATGGATGGAAAGCTCTATTTTAACACTTAATATGCATTCCAGAATACCACCTTATAGGTAAGTTAGATGTAGATTTCTTATTAATCATTACCTTTGCCACAATATTGTTAAATATTTCTGACTTATATTTATCACCACAAAGATTAAAAAAAAAAAAGTACCAATTAGGAAGAGCATATTTTAAAATTCAAGGTGAATTTATTCTACAAAACATTTTCTGAAAAAAAATTTTATATTCCATTACATGGTGCTGTTTGCATTTTTCCGAATAGTTAACATCAATGGAAATCTATGAAAGTATTAATGTAAAATTTTCTAATAACTTTACCTATTTATACACCTACACACATATATAATGGGGTTAGTTTTTCTCTCTCCAAAAGCAACAATACATAAAACACTAAAGCAACATACATAATTCTAGAGTTTATGATTTTCTGGACAAATTTCTCTTAGGAAAAAATTTGCCTTAGTGTCAAACTTCTCAAAGAAGATATATCAAGTACCTCTGTTATGCAAATAGTACTACAAATGATAATTACACATGACATATAACTATCTGGAACAATGTCTCTTCGAAGTCCAGGTATTAATTAGTAACTTTCTTTCACTGGCAAGTTTTACAAGGAAAAGTCCCATTTAGCATAAAAGTAGAAATTACCTAAGTGCTAATGAAAATGTCAAAATGAAAAAAACTAAATAGCAGCTCGGTGAGGTGGCATCCTCTGCAATTCCAGCACTGAGGAGGCTGAGAAAGGAAGATCACAAGTTTGAGGCCAGACTGAGCTGTTCAGCAAAACCCTGTCTCA